CGCATATTTAACGTGATTTCACGCTATCGAAATTTTGAATTAACTACTTTGCAGAATCATGAATTATATATAATGTTTATTTAAAGACGAGGGAAGTTATTATCAGAACGGTGAAACATGTAACAGTTGTTGAAAGTATGCATTGCAATACAGAGCGGAAGTACCGGATTGCACAAAATTAATACAGTGTAACATTTCGATCTGTTGCGTAAGTTGCGTGCTTACCGATCGGAATCGGTTCACTCTGGTTCGTACAGGAAACAAGGTATAGTTTTCGATCTAACCAGAGTACTTAAAGGGGTTCGGTCACTTTTCTAGCGTCGAAACGTGTCCGTTCCTTTGCTGGTCATATTAAACCGGTTCGCTGTTAATCTGTGATCAAGAAAATTCATGACCAATTGTTCTCCCTTGTCTGAATCATTCTTTGAATTAAGTTAAAAGAGCGTGGAACAAAAATATAGAACAGTCATGTAGAACGAAGGATTACTATGTGATCGTGTAGCGGACAAATGTAGCATTGATTGTTAAAGTTTTTGAGAGAAGTAAGTTGCTTTCGAGCAATGAGTTAAATTAATCGTGTTTGCTTGCCGGAGAGGTCGGTCAGTTCTAGCATGCACGGTCATGTTTCTTCCACCGAGTGCCCTTGTAATTTCAATGAAGGTGTATTGCCTCCTTTTATCGTACATCCTGGATTCAGCCAGGAATCGAGAACGATTTATCATGGTCAATGAGAAAAAGACCAAAAATGTACGTCTGAAGGTGGTCGAGATTGCGCAGGTAGCAATTTCTGTGTATCTGTAATTGCTTCGATGGTTGGCGTTTTCGCAAAAAGTAGGGATTTTACATAGAGTTTGAGTTCGAACAAAAGGAGATTGCAAGATCCAACGAGTAACGAAATCGAGGGTAAATCAGTTATACTTTACAATGTTGTTGGGCACGTGATTGAGTTAAATTGCGTCCACTCGTGAAACGTAGTACTACGTTGGTGATTTAATTACTATGTGATCGTATTACTACGTTCGCAATTCAAATACGGAGGTCGGACGCGTGGGTTTATCGTGTTATGTATTGGATTACACGCAGTATTATTTTCTTACGATTAGTTTGTCGTGTCATTATGTCTACGGTAGTAATACCGTTAGATTAACTGTAGAAATTTCGTTATTCAGTATTTATCTACTACTCGTATTTCGGTAAATATCACTCACTATTTACTGCTGATTTATTTATTTATTTATTTGGATTTGCCTGTTACTTGTACTACTCACATTCACTCTATTCACTCTACTCAGTCGACTCACTACTACTCACTCTACTCAGTCGATTCACTACTACTCACTCTACTCAGTCGACTCACTGCCACTCACTACTTTTCACTATTGTTCACTACTACTCACTACTATTCACTTCTACTCACTTCTACTCACTACTACTTACTACTACTCATTGCCACTCACTACTATTCACTACTACTCACTACTATTCACTATTACTCACTACTACTCATTACCACTCACTACTATTCACTACTACTCACTACTACTTACTACTACTTGTAACCACTCACTACTACTTGTAACCACTCACTACTACTTGTAACCACTCACTACTACTTGTAACCACTCATTACTATTCACTACTACTCACTACCACTCGCTACTACTCACTACTACTCGCTACTATTCACCACTACTCGCTACTACTCACTACTGCTCATGACCACTCACTACTATTCACTACTACTCACTAGTACTCACTACTACTCATTATCACTCACTACTATTCACTACTACTCACTACGAGTCACTACTACTCGCTACTACTCACTACTACTCATTACTCACTGCTACTCACTACTCACTACTTACTACTTACTACTCACCACTTACTACTACTCACTATCCACTACTCACCACTCATGAAACCCTTCAAGCGCTTTAAATCCCATTTTTGCTAAAGGAAGTCTTATTAAAAATCGCGACAGCCACCCTCCACTTTAGGGACCTACACTAATTGTGAGACAGCCTGCACAGAGCGTTTCAAAATAGTAAACAGAATAAATTTGATCCTTTAATACGTGGCGTATAATAAACTACAAATAGCTTCCAATCCTAGTCGGGTTTAGTCTACCAGCTCGTGGCTACATGCTTCAGCCTGTACAGGGCGTTTCAAAATAGTGAACAGAATAAATTTGATCCTTTAATACGTGGAGTATAATAAACTACAAATAGTTTCCAATCCTAGTCGAGTTTAGTCTACCAGCTCGTGTCTACATGCTTGAGCCTGTACAGGGCGTTTCAAAATAGTGAACAGAATTTGATCATTTAATACGTGGAATATAATAAACGATAAATAGTGTCCTAGTCGGGTTGAGTCTACAAAGAGACGACCGCTATCGATCCTAGGATCATCGATATCGACGTAGTTACGTATACAGTAATTCAAGGACAGCCGGAAATGAACCGAGACGGTTCTTAACACGTACCATTTACGATGGCGTTCAGCCTTCGCTTTACATAATGAGACGATGACGTAACACGACCGTAAGAATTTTCATTGCAACTGTAAAACTCGTGCCTCATTTAAATTGAATTTCACCCTGGTTCGATGAAAGAGTTGGCTGGCGATAGATACGCCATGTAAATGTTACGTAAACGATTCAACTACGCACTTTATATAATAATTACTTTATCGAGATACAATTAACTTTCAACCGTGAAGCGAGTGATACGGTTTGTAACGTAGCCACGGTTTATTAGCAAAATAAATACGAATCGTAAGAGAAAGTAGCGATTCTGGATACTGTTATGGTAATTATTTAACGCTTCAGAGTTTATGAAGTTAGAATCGATTGGATTGTAAGGACCAACGTAACAAGATCTATTAAATACCAAGTTTTGAATTCTAAGCACTACTTAATAATAAGTACCGAATGATAATCGATAAACAACGAGTTATCATTGAAAACTGATGACTCATAACAACTGAATAACAAATACTGAATATCGGTTAATGACTAAAGAACAATTAATGAATATTCAATACTCAGCAATGAGTCACGAATAGCAAGATACAAATTCTGAAGAAATGAAAGAATGTGTAGTAAGCAGTCATAAATAAATACATGAGCAGATATTAATTAGAAAGTACACAAGCAGTGAATAATGTTATAAGCAGTAAAAATGTAAAGGTTCAGACAGTGAAAACGGAGGAGTAAATAATGAGTAAACAAGGAGTAGTAAATAGTATGTGGTGTGTAGTGTGTGATGTGTGATGAATGATGAATATTGTGTATAGACGAGACGTGATTTGTGAGAAGCAGATGATTGGTGATGAGTGATGAATAGTAACTGAGTGGTGAGTAATGAGTGGTAAGTAATGAGTAGGAACAAGTGAGCATTAAACGATGGGCAGTGTGAGTAGTGAATGGTGAGTGGTGAGTAGAGAGTAATAAGTAGTGAGTAGTGAATGGTGAGTGGTGAGTAGAGAGCAATAAGTAGTGAGTAGTGAATGGTGAGTGGTGAGTAGTGAGCAGTAAGTAGTGAGTAGCGAATGGTCAGTGGTAAGTAGTGAGTAATAAGTAGTGAGTAGTGAGTAGTGAATGGTGAGTGGTGAGTAGAGAATAATAAGTAGTAAGTAGCGAATGGTGAGTGGTGAGTAGAGAGCAATAAGTAGTGAGTAGTGAATGGTGAGTGGTGAGTAGAGAGTAATAAGTAATGAGTAGTGAATGGTGAGTGGTGAGTAGTGAGCTGTAAGTAGTGAGTAGTGAATAGTGAGTGGTGAGTAGTGAGCAATAAGTAGTGAGTGGTGAGTAGTGAGCAATAAGTAGTGAGTAGTGAGTAGTGAATGGTGAGTGGTGAGTAGTGAGCAGTAAGTAGTGAGTAGCGAATGGTGAGTGGTGAGTAGTGAGCAACAAGTAGTGAGTAGTGAGTAGTGAATGGTGAGTAATGATTAGCAACAACTGAGCATTAAACGATGGGCAGTGTGAGTAGTGAATGGTGAGTGGTGAGTAGAGAGTAATAAGTAGTAAGTAGCGAATGGTGAGTGGTGAGTAGTGAGCAACAAGTAGTGAGTAGTGAGTGGTGAATGGTGAGTAATGAGCGAGTGTTGAGTAGTGAGCAACAAGTAGTGAGTAGTGAGTGGTGAATGGTGAGTAATGAGTAATAAGTACTGAACAGTGAGTGGTGAGTAATGAGCAATAAGTAGTGAGTAGTGAATGGTGAGTAGTGAGCAATAAGTAGTGAGTAGTGAGCAAAAAGTAGTGAGCAGTAATTAATCTACGCATTAGATCTTATTCTGACGTGACATTTTCAACTTGGTTCACCTCTATAATCTTGCTAAATAAATTAATAATAGTTTTTGCAAAGTTCTAAATTATTCCAATGTAGTATTTTCAAGTCAGTTCATCCTAACATTTGTGAAATCGCAAGTTTGATGGACTTCGTATCGATTTTGATTAATCTTGTCTTGATTATGATTGCGATCGTCTGGATTAGAGAATGAGGCGCGTGGAAAGAAAAGGATTACGTTGTCGTCCAATATCAGATCAAGAAATGATCGATGTATGTTTCAAGTGTCAAAGATACACGTCACATAAAGATAAGAAACACTCAGTTGCACATGCTTCTTTTCCACGACATGCATGAATATCGAAATTAATTTTCGTCACTGTTACGTCATCGAGTACAACATTTACGGGATTTCCTATCAATTGAGATTAAAATTGAAGTTAATAAACATTATTTATCTTCGTCATCAACGTTATCAATATTTTTTAGTATATTATCTTTTATAATTTTAGTTAATTGATCTTCGTTTGCGATGTTAATGCGACGTTATTTGCAATGTAATAGTTTGTTGTTAGTAGTGAATTATACCTTTTATTATACTTAGTGTTATATTAGTTTATAATAGTTTATATTATACTAGTTTATTATACCTAATTATACTTAGTGAACTATACCCAGTTAATTTATTCTAATGATTTTTTTTATTTTCAGGCGCTGAACGACTACTTACCCAATATGGACGTCAGATTGTACATGGTGGCCATTTTGGTGCCACTGATCCTCGTTAACTGGATCAGGAATCTGAAGTTTTTAGCGCCATGCTCAACTATTGCCAATTTCATCACGCTCGCCAGCTTTAGCATAATACTGTACTATATCTTCAGGGAACCATTATCCTTAGAAGATCGGGAACCGATCGGTCACGTGACCAACTTCCCACTTTACTTTGGTACTGTACTCTTCGCCCTGGAAGCTATAGGAGTGGTGAGTATTCAAACTCTAATCATTTACCATTATTTACTAATTATTAATGTCTTCACTTTGCAACTGAAGAAGTTCAGACTTGCCAAACTTTCACAAATTAATAATTTAATCTCATTACAGGTTATGCCACTGGAGAACGAGATGAAGAAACCGAAGAAGTTCATGAGTCTCTTCGGTGTTCTGAACGTAGGAATGAGTACCATCGTCGTTTTGTACACAGTGATTGGTCTTTTCGGATACATTCGTTACGGAAGTGAAGTAGGTGGTAGCATAACGTTAAAGTTAGGGGAACACGAAATATTAGGACAGTCCGTCCAGCTTCTGTTGTCTCTGGCCATCTTCTTTACGCATCCGATTCAATGCTACGTTGCCATCGACATCGTTTGGAACGAGTATATTGCACCGAAGTTGGAGAAAAACTCGCGCAAACTTTTGTGGGAGTACGTCTTGAGGACCTCCATTGTTCTTAGTACATGTAAGCATCCTTTATGTACAAGTTTACCACTTTATACTTATGTGTAAGTACACTTTATATGTCTACATGTGGGTATACCCTTTTACATGCATGTGAATGTATGTACATGTAAGTCTATCATTTATATTTACATGTATGTACAACATTTATACTTACATGTATGTGCAACATTTATATTTACATGCATGTATATCCTTTATACTTACATGTATGTGCAACATTTATATTTACATGTATGTACATCCTTTATACTTACATGTAAGTGCATCCTGTATACTCACATATGCATAAGTGCATCCTATACATATACTTATATGCAAGTACATTTTTGTTGTGACTTATGTAAGTTGTATAGATTTATACATGACACTGTTTTATCAATATATATATATATATATATGTATGTCCATAAAATATATGTATATGTATACTGTAAATATATGTATAGGTGCTACTTATGTATTTTTAACAAGTTGCGCATTTACGATAAAGGCACTAACATAAAGCAGATAATCGTTATCTATAAAGGCGGCGTTTCTGACAAACTCAATGTCCTTACATTCATTATACTTTTAAAAGAAATATTGCTAACAAGTATTAGATAAACATAATCTAATCTATTTTATGTATTTGCAGTTCTATTGGCCATAGTGATTCCGGAGTTGGAACTTTTTATATCGTTATTTGGCGCTCTGTGTTTATCCGGCTTGGGTCTGATATTTCCCGCCATAATTCAAATCTGCACATTCTGGGGCGTGAGCACCCGCACCGAGAGAGCCATAATGTTAGCCAAGAACATGTCCTTGATCCTATTCGGATTGCTAGGCCTAATAGTGGGAACGTACACGAGTCTCCGCAACATCGTCAGGAAATTCTCTTGAATCGAAAGGACGATTTAAATAAGGAGACAATGAAGAGTGGTGGCAAGAAGAGTTTGAGGAAGAGGAAGGAAGGATCGCTCTCTAAGAGCAGAATCATGAGATAGCGACGTAGATGTAGCCGATCGATCGTTCGAACGATCGATCCTGGTTGGACGAGGATCTTCTTGTTTACCGTGGATGTATTTTATAAATACGCTTGAATCACCTTAGTACGAGACTGAGTGAATCATTTGCAGTGCGAATGAGGAGCACGAGAAAAAAGGAAAGGAAAGAACGAGCCAATCGCGTCCAACTGTTAGATAAAACGCTCGTGGATATCGTGTTCCGTTGTGCAACATTTGTCACGGAATCACGTTAAGATTCTTTGTTTCCTTTTTTTCTGACATGGAACTGTTTTTATCGTTTGTTTACGCCCGTGCTTTTCAAATGTCACGGACGAGAAGTGTTTTCATTGGAAAGAACGCGTGATATTTTGATATAATTGGTTAAAGAATTCACGAATAAATCTATTTATGGAACCGAGAATTTAGAGCTGTTTAATTTTAGAGAACACTCCTGTTTATCCGGTTATCCACTTCCTAGTTCGCTCAACGTCTTTTGACATCAAAGCTTGTTATGTGTAGCTGAGAGAAGTTTCTCCATTGTGAGCTTGCATTTATTTAAATAAATAACGAGTGAGATAACATTGAAGTACTTCGAGCATCATTTCTGATTTATATATTCTGAGATCATAGTTAGATTCATTGTATAAACTTTAACAGGCATTGACACCTTGGTGACACCATAATCAGACAGAGTACTATATCACTGAGTGACCTAGTTACAGTCATTGGCGTAAGTAGGTGGGGATGAACCTTGATAATCAGAAATTTGAAATGAAAGTATAGAGTATAACATTTGTATTAGATTCAAAATAAATTTTCCAGATTATCAAATACTTAGATATGCATATTCCTCAATTTCTAAATATCCAGATACCTAAACTACCAAATGCATAATTACTCCAATATCAATATCTAAATTGCCAAATCTCTAAACACTCAAATAGCAGTACCTATGTTTCAAAATCCCTAAGTATCTAATGTCCTAGATCTTCCCTAATCTCTCAAATCTCTAAATACCTATATTTTTAAATTCTCTATTCAAGGCTTAACTCTCCCAATTGTCAAAGTGCCTGACTCATTAAATTTCTAATTCTACCAATCCATAATGCTTACCTCTGCAACCCCTAATCTTCAAAATATCAAATCTCCAAATTTTTATATCTCCAGTCTTAAAAATTCCAAATATTGAAATTTTTAAAATTGCAAGGCTGAAAATTGCAACTCTCCAAATTCCAAAAGTCCCTAACTGACCAAAATCCTAATTCTCCCAACACATAATCCATAATGCTTACCTCTGCAACTCCCAATCTTCAAAATATCAAATCTCCAAATTTTTATATCTCCAGTCTTAAAAATTCCAAATATTGAAATTTTTAAAATTGCAAGGCTGAAAATTGCAACTCTCCAAATTCCAAAAGTCCCTAACTGACCAAAATCCTAATTGTCCGTAGTACTTACCTCTGCAACCCCCAATCTTCAAAATATCAAATCTCCAAATTTTTATATCCCCAAGTCTTGAAATTCCAAATATTGAAATTCTTAAATTTGCAAGGCTGATCATTGCAGCTCTCCAAATTCCAAAAGTCCCTAACTGACCAAATTCCTAATTCTCCCAATACATAATCCCTACCTTCCAACCCCCAATCTTCAAAATCCCAAATCTCCAAATTTTTGTATCTCCAAGTCTTGAAATTCCAAATATTGAAATTTTTAAAATTGCAAGGCTGAAAATTGCAACTCTCCAAATTCCAAAAGTCCCTAACTGACCAAAATCCTAATTCTCCCAACACATAATCCCTACCTTCCAACCCCCAATCCTCAAAATCCCAAATCTCCAAATTTTTGTATCTCCAAGTCTTGAAATTCCAAATATTGAAATTCTTAAAATTGCAAGGCTGAACTCCCCAAATTGCCAAAGTCCCTAACTCACCAAATTCCTACTTCTCCCAATCCACAATCCCTACCTTCCCAACCCCTAATCCTCAAAATCCCACCTCCCCAAATTTCTCAGTCTCTAAATTTCTCAATTTCCAAGTGTCTAAACACCAAGTCCCCAAATTACCGAATTTGCTAAACCCTTTCACGCGTCCTTGACACAAATATCTGAAACTAGTGCCCACCTCAGACGTGACGCCACTGGTACACCTCCACGTCGAACCTGGCTGATCCGAAATAGGGTAAGCTATAGCGGAACGGAGGTGAAAGTTCACGATGGAGTTCGACGCAGACGCCATGAGATGTCGTTCCCGCGACAGGCGTATGGATCGTTGTCGGGGTGGCTGCCCCCGCATACCTCGAGGCAACCCCGTTGCCGTTTCAGTTCCACGAGTTCCCGTTGCACGTGTACACGCGACCCCATGTCGAAAAGAGGTCCGTCCTTGTGTGTGCGATCAGCACACGCGTCCCTGTCTTTCTCGCTAGTTTAGCACGCACCCTCGACGAGAACCACCCCTGTTTAACAGCCAGTGAACGTAAGTTGAGTAGAAAGCAGACCGATACCCGGGAAATACGGCGTGAACCTAAATAGCCGTACAAGTTCACGTATCTGTTTGCTCGCGATTCCACGAAGATTATCCGAGGGATCATGGACTTAGAGGATCTTTTTTTTGGAAGTTGCAGTTTCTTTCTGATGTTGATAGTGGCATAAATTTGTTTATGGCATAAGTTTGTTTTGTAGATATTTTGTGATGTATGAAAATTTGGAGGAATTTTTGTGGGGATGTGTTGGAGATGTTGAATCGGTTGTGACAGATTTATTCGCCGATTTGTGTTGCTATCGAGAAGTGGTGTGCGAGGGCTGGATGTGAAGGTTGATTATGTAACGGTGACCTACAGAAGGGGTGTACTTGCTGTATGGAAGTGCGCTTTAAGGTGCGGGTTTTAATTCTGTTTAGTGAAATAAGGATTTCTACGTTTTAATTTATTTATTGATGTGATTGTATTTTATTATTGTGATGTTTGGTGTGTGATTGAAGACTGAAAGTTGAAGTGAATTTTGGAGTGGTTGTTTGAAGCTCTTTTGGTTAGTTTTTCATTGAATGAGATTTGTTTTTATTTATTGAGATGCAGATTGTTATTGAAGAGTAGTTTGCTATGTGATTAAATTAGAAATTAGTTTGCTATATGTCACGATAATAATAATGGTTTCGTCCTGTACAATTTAAACAAAATGGGAGAGGAACGACTGTGGTATCCTAGCAACATGACCTACATTAACTTTTTATATTTACATTCGTTCTCAAAAAATAAAGGTGAGAAATTAAAGAAAATAAAAAGACTGAAGGCTACTTTCATTTCGTGAAAAGAAATGCAAATATGAAAAGTCAATATGGGTCACCGTGTTGGAAGTAAAATATAGTACTTTTTTCTTCTGTTTTCTGAAAATTTCTGTACCAGAAAAACACTGATCCATGTTATTGTGGACACCCTGTATGTAGGTGTACTTTAAGATGCATGTTGTATATGTAAAGTTGTGATTAATTTACTTGTCTTGTAATTTTTATATTAATTATATAATGTTATTAAAATTAGTTACATAATAATGATATTAATATTAGTTACATAATAACAATATTAATATTAGTTATATAATAATGACATTAATATTAGTTTCATAATAATAATATTAATATTGTTACACGATAATAATATTAATATTATATTTCAATGAAAGCAATCAAATTATCCTTTCATTTAACAGTACTTCAAACATACATAGTTGAGTTAACTTTTTAAACTAAAATTAACTATGAAACCACTTTCCCAAAAAAAAATACAAATAGTTAATATTAAAAAATTAAAAAAAATATCGTGAATTGTAATACAAACATATCAATAATCTCAAACGAATCTCCCTATCGTTCTGATGTCTGATAATCATTTTAGTTTGATCAGCGAATGATTACTAATTCAGAGACAATCGTGACGAGTCCAATGAACGAGTAACAATTGCACGTTGTGGAACATTTTACACCAGTAAGACTATGATAAACTCACGGGTATATCGACGTAACGTTTGTCGATAAAGATCGGAAGAAACATTTATTTTTTTGATTTATCATGGCAGGCGTTGACACGAGTATCGCAACATCGTGTTACACCTTGATCACCGGAAGCACGATCAATTTCCTAATTAAAGAACAACTTGGTGACGTATAATTTCTTACGAGTGATCGATGGACCGTTTAATCGATCTTCCTGTTGAGTGACCTCGTTCATCTGCAAATATGAATAAATGAACGATTAATATTTTCGTGCGAAAAAGTATTTTCTCTTCTTTTAAGATTTATTCGATGTTATGGTGAATTGATTTCATTTCATCAGAAGGAAATTTTATTTTTTATTTTAGTTCATTACTAGTATTAATTACTAATACAATTACTGGTGGTATTAATATTACAAATTTTTATATTGGTATTAGTAATTATTTAATACTGGAAATTAGTAATTATATAATATCAGAGATATTAGTAATTTATAGGGGTAATAGTAATACTGTACTGATTAGTACTGGTATAATATTTAATATTACAGCTCCCGTTATATAGCCGTTGTATAGTCGTTGGCTCCCGCTATATAGCCATTGTGTAGAATTTCACGCGTTCTAACACTACTCTCACATGTTCCAGTAAGCACTGTTGCAGCGCAGGGCATCCACTCTTGCTATATTGCCGGCTTCATATTCCACTCCTCGAGTTCTCGACTGAGCAATACACCAAGAATCTAATGAATTAATATTAATACTTGAGTACTCATATTATATGATATACATAATACTGATATTATATAATATACATAATACTGGTATTATATGATAATTACTTAGTAATAATATTCACCAGTATATCCACCAAATATCTATGATACTTGATACTTGGAATTTGAGAATTTGGAACTAGGGAATTTTGGAACTTGAGAATTTCGGAACTAGAGAATTTTGGAACTTGAGAATTGGGAACTAGAAAATTTCGGAACTTGAGAATTTGGAACTAGGGAATTTTGGAACTAGCGAAGTTGGAACTAGGGAATTTTGAAACTTGAGAATTTGGCACTAGGGAATTTTGGAACTTGAGAATTTTGGAATTAGAGAAGTTGGAACTAGGGAATTTTGGAACTTAAGAATTGGGAACTAGGAAATTTCGGAACTTGAGAATTTGGAACTAGGGAATTTTGGAACTAGCGAAGTTGGAACTAGGGAATTTTGAAACTTGAGAATTTGGCACTAGGGAATTTTGGAACTTGAGAATTT